TAGATTCTCCTTTATTTTTCTTGCTCACTCACATTATGATTCTAAAAAGAACACATCTTCTAAAGACTGCCAGAAGAACAGCTCTTGTTTCACACCCTCCTCTGAAATGTTGTCCTGCCAAGACTCTCCTTAAGACATGGAGTCCTACTGTCCCATTCTTTAATCCTGCTTGGCCCTAGTGATTGGTATGCAGCCAGGAGAATATGACAGTTTTGATGTGGTGCAAGTTCTGTATGTAGGCCAGACTTGCATCTTCTGCATAGCTTTCTTGAAATACATTTTCTAGGAGACCCTTGATCGAATATAAGAAGTCTAACTATTCAGAGAACACCATGGTGGTAAGGACACGTTTACATACTCAGTTCAACAGTCAAATATGAAATCATCCTTCAGAGATCCAAGATTCCGTACCAACCATGTGAACAAGATCATATTTGCTCTAGCCCAGCTCTGTCCAATGTGAGCACATGCTCCAAGACAACTAGCTATGAGTGTGGCCCAACACAAAATGGTGAACATTGAAATTTTTTTGTATGCATGTTATTTAGGATCTATTTTTGTTCTGATCAAATTCAACTTCTTCACCCAGTTACTTGTGGCTGGGAGCTTAAAAGTTCAGCATTCTTGCTCATTCATAAGTTTATTAAAATCATGAACACTAACATCAATTGAAGCCACAGAGGAAAACTTCCACATGCAGGCTCCCATGCCTTCATCAGCCCACTGAATGGTTTTCTGTCCTGGTATTGTTTCTTTGCTTATCTATAGACTGGCTATGGCCTTATTATATAAAGCCAGTGACTCGCCTGTGATCTAGAGGCAGAACCTTCTCTCCTCCTTTTGTAATTTCCTCTTTTCTTTCTGTTTTACTCTGAAGTTTTCCTTCTTTTGACCATCTCCTATTACACATAAACATCCTTGCTTTCCATTTAAAGCAAATAATGCAAAGGTAGTTGGCAGTGTTCTTACTCACTGCCTTTCTTTTGCCCACCTCGCTGAACATCTTTAAATGACCCTTTCACCCTCACCATTCCTGAAAGCAGTTCTTGTTAAAGTAATCCCTGGCCTTCAGATTGATGAATCAGAGGCCACTTCCACTTCTCAGTTCTCATGGGACACAAGGTACTAGAAGCTCTTACATCATTGGTATCTTGCTCCTCATAAACATCTTTACTTTGCTTCCAGCACACTATTCTTTTTGGTTTGCGGGCTTTTCTTCCTTGTCAAATGATTTTTATTGTTCATTTCTCTGGATCAACCTATCTTCCCAGTCTTAAATATTGACTATTCCAGGCTGGAGCCAAAGGCATTTGCTTTGGTCTATAATCATCTGTCTAGTTGATCTTAGCAGATTTTCAAACTATTTAATATTACTAATGCCATGAGAAGTGACTACTATCTCCAGCTCCAACTTCCATATATTATCTCTGAACCCACATTCCACACAGTCTTAAATATCTAGTTGAATCCACATTTCTGAAGTTGGATGCCTAATGGATATATCTGGCTTAACAGATACAAAAGTAACCTTTTGATTACTTTATCCTTAACTTGTGACTCATTTTTCCCAAGACCTTCTTAGCAGTCAGTGGCAACTTCAGTCTATTAATTATTCACTCTGCCAACCTTGGGGTTACCCTTGATACCTCTTTCTCCTATAGGGTATATTCAGTCGTCAGCAAATCCTGTCTGTTGACTTTTGGGTACCTATTCTGAGTTGAATGCGTTTTTACCACTGTCACTGTTGCTGTTATGTTATCACTGTACCCCAGGATGGTTTTGTGATCACTTTTTGCCTTATTCTTGCTCTTTTGCAGACTGATTTACACAACACAATTAAAGACTCTTTAAAAAAGGGTATCAGAACATACCTTCTTGTCTCAAAGTGGTTCGTTCATATAGTATTCTATTTCACCCAGATAAAAATCTGAAAAATTACCTGCTCAGTGCCCCATAGAATCTTTCTAGCCCATCTCCTTAGCTGGCTGCTCATTCTACTCCATCCATCCACTTATTCTTGTCCTCAGTTTCTCTTCTCATTTCCAAAAGCTCTTTGCTAGATTTCTAGGTGGCTCTTTCTTTTACTTCACTTAGCTTTCTACGTTAATTTTAGTTTTAGACAAGTTTTTCTTTCTGGCTACTGAGGGAACTTCAGTTGAAAACATTCCTCCATCAGAATTGTATATAGGCAAGTCTGTGGGGGGCATTTTTAAATTAATGATTAATGTAGGAGGGCCCAATCAACCCCTGTGGAGCTGTCCTTAGGTAGGTGGTCCTGGGAAGAATAAGAAAGGCAGCTGAATGTTAAGCCTGGAGAGCAAGTGAATAAGCAGCATTGCTCCATGGCCTCTGCTACAGTTCCTTCCTCCAGGTTCCTGCCTTGACTTCTCCTCATGATGGAATATGATGTGAAAACATAAGTCAAATAAACTCATACATCCCCAAGTTGCTTTTGGTCATGATTTATCACAGCAACAGAAAGCTAACTAGGACAGAAATAGAGGTTTCCAAGAGTGTTGGGCTTCCTCCCATATACTACTGATTTTAGATGATGTAGCAGCCTCGAAATTTCATAAACACAATTCACCCGAGGGTTTGCATCAACCAGCGTCATGCATGCCACTGGCAAATATGTATTTGACAAACCGAATTTATTTACATTTAACACCACATTGTTCTTCAGCACCTCCACAACTATGTGTTTTCTGTGACTCATAGCTTTGCTTAGCTGATGCTCTGTATGCAAGAGTGTGGTATTTCTGTTAGTTTCTGTCTCTGTCTCTTTGTCTCTGTATATCTCTCTCTGTCTCTGTCTCTCTCTCTTTGTCTCTCTCTCTCTCAGGTTAGAGGTTGGAAGTTAATATAAGCCCTGCAATTTGAAAAAAATGACAAAAGTCTTCCTTCAATGAATGAGGAAATGAATAATTCTGTGGCATCTTCAGACTGAATACTGAGTAGCCCCAATTGTTCATTTTCTATGTGAAGAACCAGAGCAAACTGATATTACTGAGTGTTCAGTATCACACACAGCATAAGCAGAAAACTGGGGTGGAAACAGATTCTTGATGTTGATGGAGCAGGATTTTTAAACATGTGCTTGTGGGTCTTTCACTGCCATGCCTTCAGAGCACAGCAGACACATTCCTCTTAGAACTGCAGGGGCACTGAGAATACACACTGAGCTGTCTTCTTAAGTCCATGCCCACAGTGTTCAGAGCTGATTTGTGGTTCTAAAGGTCAGTGGATAGGCACAAAGTGCGTGCTGTGCATCTGGACTTCTCTATCACTACTGTTTTTAGTGTTCTTGGTATTAGGGATGAAAATACCACTTTGCCCTTGTAGGCCTGGCATTACAATCTGGCATTAGTATAGGTAGTTTTTCACCTTATTTGTATAGAATGTATAATTGTATCCTTTTCTGAAAAGTATCTTTCTATTTCATGATTAGGATGTCACTGGTTTTGACCAGGCTTGAGCAAGCCGTGACTTACTTGGGAGTCTTACTGTGATTCTTAGAAATCTTGTGTCAGTTTTCAAATCAAGAAGAGACTGGAATATTTAGAAGAAAATAAAATTATAAATGATTCAGTCTTAGACTCATATTTATCACTAATGGCAAAATATTTTACATGGTATTTTGGAAAGGGTATTTTATTAGCTAATGAATATGCATTTGACATGATATGCAAAATCCTGAAGACTCAATTTCATGAAGCCAAGGGCTGTTTCCTTATCATTGTGGAATTCATTGCCCTTTCATACAATGTAACCCACTAACACTTGTAGCTATTTGTTGAGTGTTTACTTTCAACTAGTATCTTTCATTATATTCTCTCAAAATAAAAAGCAATCATTTGAAGAGCTTCCATTAGTATTTTATGAAAAAAGTGGATGCTTAAGTTGGATTTCCAATACAGACATCTCACCTCAGCTTTTACAATTTGTATGCCCTTCGTGCATTTACAAATATGCTTGTGAAGGTAAAAAGAAATAGGTGCTTGGGCCCACTTAAAGAGCTTTCTGCACCCATACCTGCATATTTAGCATTTAATAATGAAACTTATTTACAACTGATTTTAAGCTAGTACATCAAAAGTTGTTCTTCACAGCATAAGAATCTCTTGGTCATGCCAGGTCACCAGGTCACTACCTGGAGGTTCAGTTTCTGAATTGTTACACACACAATTATACTACCTAAAGCAGAACCTTTCGAAGACCACAGGTATCACCATCATCTTCTCTTTATCAACAAGACGCATCCATCCTGTCACTGAGTCCTCACTTATGTTTTATTCCCAGAACAAATCCATACAACGTATACTACATATACTCATGCACACATGCAACATTTTTATACTTAGGAATCATTTATGTTTGGCTGGGAGAACATTCATAATCTTAATTAAGGATGATTACCAATTATTTTCTCCAGAAATAAGCATATAAACTGGGTAATATATCTAAGTGGCATCAGACAGGTGTTTTTTTTTTTTTAATATTTACTCAGGTAAAAGAATAGAGTAGGTTCTGTGCAAAACTACCAATTGAGTTTGAGTTTCCTTTAGAAGATCTTTGAGATTAAGATGCATTAGTTGTTCTTAGACTTTTCATTTGTCAATATTATTAGCTATCATGTTGCTATCATTGAGTATAACTATGATTGGGGCCACAAAATTCTGTTGGAAATAAGTACCCACTCTCCTTAGTTTAAAGTCAGATACTTCTAACCTGTCAGCTCTGAAAAAACTGAGTAGAGAATTGCCATATTGTGTAATTTAAAGACTTCTGACATCATCAGATTAAAGGGAAGAATGGTTTGATTATTGCATAATGCCCTTTGAAGGCCTCAACAAGGTAAGACAAACTCCAAGGAAAAAATTTACACAACCACACAGGCACACCCAAGCAAAACTACAACAGATTTCCACCTGAGAAGTCAAGAAAGTACTACCTTGCCCCAAACCAGCCAGACTCCGATTACCACAAGGATGGATAGTTACCCATGGCGAAGAAAGGGATTCCCAGCAGGGTGGAGTTGTACTTCCCATCAGTGATGAAGAAGATCCCGGCGGCAGTGGCGATGGAAATGCATACCGTGAGCACCCCCAGGAGGCCCAGGAAGGGCTTACTGCGCAAGCAGTCCTTCATGGAGCTGGACAGGGTGGCCGTGGTCAGGATCAACACAAGGCTCACCAGGACCTTGCTTCTGGCCAGGATGCTGGTCTTATGAAAGTCTCTCCAGAGGCTAAAAGATGCCAGAGAGTACAGTTGGAGGTCTTTTTGCTCCTCCTGGAGCTTCCTCATAAGCTTACAGAACTCATTCTCCCACTTCTCCCCTATGAGGTCTTGAGTGGCAGAACCATAGGTCTGGAGGTAGTAGGTGATTTGAATGGCTCTGGCTGACTTGACCCGCTGGTCTTTGCTGTTTGGCACTTCCACTACCCCGCCCAGCTGGTGTCCAATAAAACTGTTCCTCCCATCCTTGAAAACAGAAAGAGGGGAGACTTCAGTTACCAGAAGGATGCACATTCCAAGGAACAGTTTCTTATTCTAAGTGAAGAAGCACAAGGAAGGCAAAGAGAGGTACTGGTGATTGTGGAATTGATGTGGGTGGAGAGGAGAGTCAGGGTTTTATTCTTAACCTTTTGGAGCTGTGTGGGAAACCCTGCGGGACTAACAGGAATAGAGACAATGGAGACAGTGTCACAAAAGCTACACCAGACTTGCCTCATTCCTTACATCGCTTCTATAGGAATCTAGTCAAATTCCTTAACAGCAGATCAAGATTACGATTTATGTTTAGCTGTAAGTAGAGCATGGCATGAGGCTCACCCTGGACCATGCTGAGGACATGGAGTACATTTTCCTTCAATGAGATACTACACTTTTCCTCCCAGAATTCCTGGCCCCAGCCCTGTCCTGGCGAGCCACCATGAAGTTCCACTGGTCTACAACTCTCCTGTGGTGTGGGTCAGAAAGGCGTTCCCTTTTCTGCCTCTTCCTTTCAGACATTGGCCAGAATGTAAATAAGCTTTTCCCCCCTCCTCGATACTTTGGGTTTTCTTACTTTCTCTAAAGCCTCCTTCCCTGCCATGTATCTGGCGTATGTGCTAGCTTCATTGCCATTTTTTTCTTCCTTCTTTCTTCTTGTCTCCTCTATCAGTTTCCAATATTTAGTTTGCCCTGGGTGTTTTCCTTTTAGATTGTAAGAAAATTGACTTTGAGCTTCAAAACTTAAAAAAATAATCATCCAGTATATAAATATGCTAAGCTTTCCAGAATCAGTATAGGCACCAACATGAAGACAAGAACAGTCTTACTTCCTTACATTAGTGAAGTTATATGAACAGTTGAGAATAGGATAAATACATTTCTCAAAGCTAGTGTGGTATTGAAACACTTTCGCATATGACACCAGCTTTGCTGGGTCTCTACAATCTTCCCCCAACACCCAAATCTGTCTCAAACTTATCTTCTGCTGTAAATAAATTCCCAAAGAGGGCTGAGAAGATTCTCAGGTAGTGTCACCAAATGGTGTCCTAGCTTCCATGTTGGGCTTGAGGAAGTGTGGACAAGATGATCGCCCTAGGAACTGGGTAAACAAAGCAGTCATTCCTCCTTAAATCACACTTAGATGGACACAGAACTGGCAGTTATTCTCATCCAATGAGGGTGCTCCCTGACAGCCACCACGAAATTTTAATCTAATTGGAAATTTTATTTTTGTCACAGTTGTTCCCACCCTTTAATGGTAATGGTTCATAGAACATTGAGCTCAGCAGCAGGCTTCAGGGTGATTTACAGGGCTGAAAATGCACTGCTGATATTGGGTGAGAGATATAGGCACAAAAGGAAGTTTACGTTCCAAGTAGTTTGTATGTGAATGGAGTCAGGAAAGATAGTCTCTCAAAGGTATAATGGAGTTGATTCTTAGCAAGAAACAGTTCTCTCTAGAGACCAGTAGGCAAGGGCAGCAGAACACTGACCAGTGTGCTGACCATAGGTGTTTACATGGAACTACTAGGCATCTAGCTAGCACTTGAGATAATTATCCTAGATTTGTTTAATCCAGACACCAAAATGTGAGGCACTTATTTGCATTTTGCTCTTAACATGCACAAAAGTAACCCTATTGTTAGCATATATTGCAAACACAAAAAGTTGGAGATGTTCAGAGAATACAGGTTCAACTTGGAGAATGATCAGACGTTGAACAATACACAGTCACTCTGTGTACCTACATGTTAAATAGTTACAACCATCTTAAGAAACCAAACCTCTGGGCAGTGGTGGCACCTGCCTGTAATCCCAGCACTCAGGAAGCAGGGGCAGGTGAATCTTTATGAGTTTGAGGCCAGCCTGGCCTACAGAGCAAGTTCTAGGACAACCAGGGCTATGAAGAGAAACTCTGCCTTGAAAAACTACAAAAAAAAAAAACTATAAAAAAAGAAAAGAGAAAGAAAGAAAGAAAGGGATGGAAGGAGGAAGGAAGAAGGAAGGAAGGAAGAAGGAAGGAAGCTAAACTTGACCAAACCCAAATGAACAAGTTATTTCTTAACAACAATTTGATTTGTGGGTTCTCCCTTGGTGTATCAACTGCTGCCATGGGATCTTTATAATCTTACTATTTCTTTTCTTTATAAAAACTCAACTGGGGCTGGAGAGATGGCTCAGTGGTTAAAAGCCCTGGCTGCTCTTCCAGAAGACTCTGGTTCAATGTCCAGAACCCAGAAGGTAGCATGTGACCATCTGTAACCCCAGTTCCAGGAGATCTGACTCTTCTTCTTGTCTCCATGGGCATATGACACTCACTAGGTGCACAGAACTATATTCAGGCAAAACACTCACATGCATTAAAATAAAAAAAAATAAGTACAAAACATCAAACTGAAGGTTTGGCTGTAAGTTTCCTTGTTTAAACCCATTGGATCTTGCAAAAAGGGTTGGCAAGCTTGGAGGAAAGAGATGTGAATCATGCCTCAGAACTGAGTGATTGTGGATATAGTTTGTGTTTGCTCACTATACCAAAATTGCTCACTTATTTGGTGTATTTTTACCTAAAAACTGGCATAATGTTTTGGTTCAATTTTCTTTCTATGGCTTTGAAATTCTGTCTTTATTTAAATGTGTGTGTCTGATCATCTGGGAAAGCAATATCCCCATATCCCCAAAGCTCTGTTTCTTTTTAAGAATGTCTTGCTTTGTCTTAGCTCATTTCTGTCATTAAAAAGACCACTGGGGAACTTTAGCAGCAGTGCAGAGTTATGTGTCCCTCAGGTCTCACTTGGAGATTATAGTAGACAAGGAAGGCGCTGGTTGTATATCTGGACAAAAGTCAAAATTTTAAAGATGTATAGATTTTTAAATAGTCAAGCTTTATTGAGTTTGACCAACTGCCAACCTTTCTTTTGAAGTTGTATAATTTTCATTTTTTAATAAAAATTCCTTATAAGAGATACACCTTTGGTGTATCTTCCCTTGTTATATTTCAATAATAAGAATAAATTACTGGTCCATGCTTAAAGCTATAAATGAGGTGTTTTGATATCCTGGATCAAAACTCCATTGGATGATTACAACATGTATATGCAGTTGGCTCAGCCAACCTACCCATTACAGTCTTTAGAAACCCAATCACATACATTATGGGCATGAGACCATTCTACTTTTGGATAGGAGTAGCAAAGAGTTCCTCTTCTCAAGCTAATCAATCATTACATACTTCTAAGTAGGAGATACTAAGAATGAATGCAGCAAACATTCTGTGTCTTGTGGAGAACTTCCTTGGAGTCACAGTACACTCAGTCAGGTCAATGCCATGAAGACATGTGACTTGAGTTGTACCGTGGAACTCATTCTAATTGGGGGAAATTTCTATGTAGTTCATTGCTTGTGTCTTCTTCAGTTGTCTTAACTTAGGAGGAGGAGATAGGAGTATATGAAGTGATGATTATAGGATATAGAAATAAGTTTTTGGCTCTCTTACTCTGTGATAAAACTACCTATACAAAGAGTTTGAAGAGACGTGAATGTCAGAAGTGCTGTTCATACTAGTCATAGGCAGAACTTTTATTTGTTAGGTGAGTGAACCTAGATGTTTAGAAAACGCATACCTGTTAGTTCCTACTCACATCTTCTGACGCCAACTCCAATCCTTTCTAGACCTTCATGGTGCCAGAGCAGAGAAACCACTTTGACTCATGTGTCAAAACTTTATTTTACCTGTGGATTCCCCTTTCCAATTTCTTTCTCTTTATCTAAGGCAGCCTGTCAGACAAAGTGTTGCCTGTAATTTGACTCAATCTCTTCATTTCTCATAGTAGCTTATCCCACAAATTTTGAAATTTCTCTGAATATAGAAGTCTTGTGTTACCATAAAGGTATGTGTTAATTTTTTTTTTTAATGGCTGACTTCAGTGTTGCTTTATTTCAGTGATGGACTGAGCTCAGTTGTTATGTCAACAACACAAGATGACTTCAGGTCTCTGGTCTGATTCTGCTGTTCTCCAAGGCACTCTCCACATCATAGGCAGAGCCTACTCAGTCAGCTGGAAATGAGAGAGACCACATCATCTCTCTACCTGATCCTTCCACTGGTTTGCACTTGCACTAGGCCTGCCACAGGAGCCCTTTATCAGACCTGCAGAGCGATGATGCACGGCCACAGCTAGAGATGTCTTTTGACCCTGCCTGATGTTCTCCTGTCTTATTTGCCCCTTCTCCTCCTCCCCCTGTTCATCTTCCTCCTTGAGCACATCAAGTTAATTTCCACCTCCAGGTTTGTGTCTGGTGTTCCCTTTGCTTTGAATATTTCCCCATATCCTTCTTAAATCCAAGACCACTTCCTGCTATGGATGTCTTAGCTTAAAACAACAACAACAACAACAAGCTATTTAAATCATAATCTAAACTGGACACCCTGTTTTGCGAAGTCAGGCCATTGCATTACCCTATTTTATGAGCTTCCTGCTAATGATATCTACCTGAGAAAATTGTGTATAGTCATTCAATTGCTCCTTTTCTGTCCCTTCAGTTAGAGTACACACTAGCTGAGAGCCATGACCTTTCCGGGTTTGCTTATTAATAACTTCCCCAGAGCCTTAAACAAGCCCATTCTCTGCATAACATTTGCTAACTGAGTGAACTCACCTTTAGGTGTAAATTACTAACCACATTATATTTTAGAGACAGTTTTTGCTAAAATTGGGTAATTTGAAACATTATCCTTTTTTCAATCTCTTTAGTTTCTTGTATCATTCCCCCAGCATGTATTACTGTTCAGCATTCACTGTGCATCTAGCACTTGCAGGACTGTAAGTCACTACTAGTGACAGCAGACAGGGGGCCTCAGTGAGTGCAAGACAGCCAGGAAGAAGCATTTGCATGCAATAGGACTTGAAGGCAAAAGACACAGGATTTTCAAAGAACCGAAGGAGTGATAAGATGTGAGGTTAGAGAGGAAATAGTGCTCCTTCAGCACT